TTCAAAATGTCATGAAAGTGGTAGTTTCGACTGTAAATTTCATAAAATCACGAGGACTCAATCACAGGCAATTCAAACAATTCCTTGATGACATCGAACGCGAATATGGAGATTTACTGTATTATACAGAAGTAAGGTGGCTAAGTCGTGGATTGACACTGGAACGATTTCTAAATTTAATAGAAGAAATTGGAATATTTCTGGCGAAAAAGCAAAGGGATGTCCCGGAACTTAAAAATCCTGATTGGTTGTGTGATTTGGCTTTTTTAGTTGATATTACAAATCATTTCAATGTCTTTAACACACGGCTTCAAGGCAAAAATCAACTGATATCCCAGCTCTACGCTCATGTATCATCCTTTCAATGCAAGCTGACACTTTTCAGATCGCAATTGAATTCTGGAAATTACAATCATTTTCCGAATTATAAGAAAATGGCTGAAAAATTCAACAAAACTGCGATTAATTTCAGTTATATAGAAAAGCTAGATAATTTGATTCAATCTTTTCAAGACAGATTTTCGGAGTTTAAAAAAGTGAAACCTCTGTTGGACATATTCCGTAATCCTTTAACGATTTCAGTTGAAAATGCGCCAGAGTCAATGCAATTAGAAATTATCGACATTCAAAACGACCAAGATTTACGCAACAAATTCAACGAAGACTTGCTGAACTTTTACCGTTGCATTGATAAAAATACGTACAAAGAGTAAGTAATAATAATTAGTACATTTCAGAGCTTACGTTCTACGCATAAACGCTCTGAAATGTGCCAGCTTATTTGGTTCTACCTATATATTTGAACAAACCTTTTCAATACTAAATAATAATAAAACAAAAAATCGAAACCGCCTTGCAAATGAAAGTTTGGAAGCAGTTTTACGTGTTGCTACAAGTAAATTTGACCAAATATAAAAAAGATTGTAAGCACTATGCAGTGCCACGCTTCAAATTAATAAATTCTTTTTCAATTTTAATATATTATTATCAATTCTTTATTGTCTTTAATTACCTCTACTTCTGGCGGCCCGCCATCAGTTCATAATTACCTCTACTTCTGGCGGCCCGCCATCAGTTCATAATTACCTCTACTTCTGGCGGCTCGCCATCAGTTCATAATTACCTCTACTTCTGGCAGCCCGCCATCAGTTCATAATTACCTCTACTTCTGGCGGCCCGCCATCAGTTCATAATTACCTCTACTTCTGGCGGCCCACCATCAGTTCATAATTACCTATACTCTTGGCGGCCCGCCCTCAGTTCATAATTACCTCTACTTCTGGCAGCCCGCCATCAGTTCATAATTACCTATACTCCTGGCGGCCCGCCATCAGTTCATAATTACCTATACTCCTGGCGGCCCGCCATCAGTTCATAATTACTTCTACTCCTGGCGGCCCGCCATCAGTTCATAATTACCTCTACTTCTGGCGGCCCGCCATCAGTTCATAATTACCTATACTCCTGGCGGCCCGCCATCAGTTCAAAATTACCTCTACTCCTGGCGGCCCGCCATCAGTTCATAATTACCTATACTTCTGGCGGCCCGCCCTCAGTTCATAAATACCTCTCTACTGGCGCCCGCCATCAGTTCATAATTACCTATACTCCTGGCGGACCGCCATCAGTTCATAATTACCTCTATTTCTGGCGGCCCGCCCTCAGTTCATAATTACCTCTACTCCTGGCGGCCCGCCCGCAGTTCAGTAATTAATGAACTGTCCGGGCGGCCCGACATCAGTTTAATAACGTCGGGTACCGGGATTCTGGTAATGACTGATGGCGGCCCGCTCTCAAGTTCATAATTCTTCTACTCCTGGCGGCCCGCCCTCAGTTCATAATTACCTCTACTCCTGGCGGCCCGCCATCAGTTTACAATGTGCCCGAGTGGCCGCTAGTCTTAATAAGTCTGTGCATCACTGACATAAAGCATCAGGACAGTAACATGACCAAACAATTGCCGCAAAAACGCAAAGCACAGATTGCAATAAGCTTGAGTACGATAATTTGTAGACACAAACCACGTCCATCGACGGGAACCAATATATAAAGGCAATAAATTAAATTACATGACTCAAACCGAAAATGTTAATCACTTATGTTATTGATGTGCATATTACAGATTATAAAAATATGTATGTGTTTGTGCTTTTTTAAATTTATTATAAGCCAGTGCTTAACCCACGGTAAATCACACTGTCTTAGTGTTACAAAAGCCATATTCACTCTTGTCTTGAAGACGCCCAGATTATATTCGGAGGGAAAGATAGAGGCCATTAATCCACTTTTTTGCTGTACACTGAAATGATCGGGAATAGAATATTTCGGATTGAGTTACAATAAAACTTTTTTGAGAATTTGAATACTGGCCTCTTAGAATCGTAATGACATTCAAACACTTAAAAAATGTTTAAAAACGAAAACTATGTTGGTTTAAAGTTGACACGTCGTTAACAGAAATGGAAATCACGCGTGAACATTTCCGTGCCATAATTTATCACAATTTTCGTCGCGGCTTATCTCAAGATAAATGTCTCAGCGAACTCGTTTCGATTTATGATGTTGAAGCACCGAGTCAAACGACAATATACCGCTGATATGCCGAGTTCCGACGCGGTCGTGTGTCGCTCAGCACTGTTTCTTCTGCTAGTCAACCAAGAACAGCGGTCACGCCTGAAAACATTTCAGCTGTGCGAACTATTATATTAGATGATCGTCATATGACATACGAGCAGATTTGGGCTGTTATCAGTATCAGAATGACTGCAATTCAGTTGATGTCACATAATGAGCTGTGTGTAAGAAAGCTAGTTTCCCGCTGGGTTCCCCACAATTTCTTCAAAGAGCATAAGGCGGCTCGTGTAGATTGGTGCCGGAATACTCTGCAACGCTTCGACGAAGGGAAGTCAAATGCCGTTTATAATATCGTCTCAGGTGACGAGTCATGGATTTATTCATACGAACCTGAAAGAAAACATCAGTCAGCAGTTTGGGTCTTCGAAGACGAGGTCAAACTAACGAAAGTGGTCCGCTCCCGCAGCGTGTCACAGAAAATGGTCGCTACGTTTGTCTCTAAAAGGGGGCATGTTGCTACAATCCTTTTACAGAAACGCAGAACGGTTACCGCTGAGTGGTATATTACGGTTTGTTTGCCGAACTACGAAAAAATAACTCGAAACGTCGCATCATCTATCATTACGATAATGCGACTCGGAAGACAAATGATTTTTTGAAGCAGGAAAACGTTGAGCTGATGAGCCATCCTCCGTACAGTCCTGACCTTAGCGCAAACGATTTCTTTACATTCCCTAGAATGAAAGATTAATTATTACGCGGTCAACGGTTTGAAGACCCCGAAGCAACTATGGAAGCGTACAAATCAGCCATTTTGTTAACATCAACTTCAGACTGGAATTACTGTTTTAATGATTGGTTTGCACGAATGGAAAAGTGCATTAAGTTGAACGGAGAATACCTCGAAAAATAATATAATACAATTACCTATACCGTGCATGTGGTTCTTCTTATTCCCGATCATTTCAGTGTGCCCCTCGTACGCATCAAAAAAGACGACGCAAACTGTTTAGTTCTAATTCGTGGAATATTGACAACAAAGTGGTGAAGACCCGCCTGGTTGTCCGATGGTGAAAAGGGGAGGGAGGAATTAAAGCATGTAATTCCTGTGCACACTCGCCGATGCCTATAGATTACTGAGAGGCTGGCTACTCTGCGCCTGTGCTCGAGGCTGACGAAATTGGTTTCAACCAAATCAAGGTTACCAATGAACCTTCTTAGCACGTCTCTCCACTAAATACAACACTGCTAGGTGGCATTTTGCAGCACCAGCCCATATGTGACAGCAGTACTCCTTGAACGACTAGACTTGTGCGTTATGTAAGGTAAGTAGAAGCTGCCCCGGCTTGAAGTGCCGCCACACCCTTGCAAGAACACCTAGTTTCTTTGCGCCTGCTTAGGCCCTGGACTCAATGAACTGCCCATAGTTGAGGTTCAGAGAAAATTCAACACATAGGAACTGAAGGCATCAATGATGGGGGCGGTGAGTACTCCTAAGATATATTCCGAAAAGTGAAAAGAAACGCTTGTGTTTTGAAGACGTTGAATTTCACGAGATTGGCATCGCCCCATTCGGAGACTGCCTGCGGTAAGAGAATTGCACGCTCAACCATAGCTACTCTTTTGGATTGGATATGCCGACTGGCACGAGCATTCGGCTGGTACCTCTCCACAACTGTGCCAATCCGGAGATAACGGGAATAAGCAGATTATGGATATGTACTTGTTAAATAAATAAAATGAAGTGCGGCTCATATGCAGATCCATTACAAGACGCAATGTCGCAAGCAGTAGTAAGTATCAATGCATTAAACACACCCTTATGAGTAACAATCGACTTTGGTAATATTCTAGGCTTAATAAACTAATACAGAGCTGAGTATGTTTGTTTCATTAGTAAATGCTACCAAATACTCCCTCTAATCCAAAATTCAGATAATGTATCCCAAAATAAAGTAGTAAATATACCAAGATAGGAAGTTTTAGAGTGCGGAAAGTTCGGTTTGAACCTCAGCTCAATCAGATGCCTTGGACGCCCACGTAGTTAATACGTGTATAGCGATGGAAGAAACACCCTAGAACCGGAGACTTGTGACGTGGTATTCCATCTTAGCCCTCAAGGGCATTGATTTATACATTACAATGTTGTATAACTCAATGCTCAAGGGTGACAACGTGGACAATTTTGTTGTCTATAGACCACAGCTTTACTTTACCGTAAGTTCAACACTTTTTAACATTGTGCTTTTTCTTTTATTGGAAGGTAAATAATAATAATTAAATGTGTATTTTGTGTTTTTATTTTATACATGGCTCCATAATTCACAAAAGTTACTATTCTTATCCTATAATCACATTATTAATTACTGTACAAATATATTTACACTTAGCAATATGCCCCTGTTAAATGTGTTAATGTGGTGTTATTATGGAATGTAGAATTCATCGGCTGGTACAGCCTTATAGAAGGCCTCAACGTTTTTAAACACTTCAGCGATGACAGCGTGAACAATCGGAGGTGCGATTTCTTGCATTACGTCCTTCCAGTTTGTGTTTGCGAACTCTATCACTGGGTCAGCTGGAAACAAAATTTAACCATATTTATAAATACGCTGCATAAAATTAGTTGAAAACCTAACCTAAGTGAATACTTAGAATATTTTCTGTGTACCCCCCTCCCCCATCGATAAGCACGTAAAAGCCCTTGGTCCACAGCCCCGCGCCTTTTCAACTATTCTAAGCCAGCTTTTGACTGCTATCCCATTTGATGGTAAGTGGTGATGCAGCCAAAGATGATGAAGCGCACTGACTTAGCTTAACAAAAGCGTATTCACTCTTGCCTCGAAGACATCGACATTATAATCAGATAAAAGATAAATTCTAGCAAATTATTACACTCGTTTGCTGTACGCATTATGCGTGATATTTCTCTCTATTGCCCTCCAGTCGTGTTAAATTGCCTCCCCATTGGTGCTTGTGCATACTCTTGCACTATAATCCTGTCCTGCACAGATGGCCGGTCTCCTTTGAGTCTTTTTGACTTTATTTATAGTAAAACCTATTTCATGTTTCACGAGAAGGCATATTGAAATACCCATAATACAATATTGATAATGATTTTTTTTATATTTACCAAGAAGTTTGTTTCCATTGAATAAGTTGTCGAAATAGAAGGAAGCTCCAGTCTTGACGTGGAAGGAGTCACGCCACTTAATTATTTTCCAGTGAGGTTTTCCATCTTCTCCTTGCTCCGTAGTCAAGTCAGTTACGGTCTTTATTACGATGTCTCCTGTAATAACAAATATGAGAGATATAGAAAAGTGTAAATATAACATAGCATAATTATTTAACCTAAGGCCTCAGTCGAGAAGATTTGCGTTAATCGTAACCTTTTTTTATAGTATGTATAATATGACAAATTAAGAATCAAAACGCAGATGCGTTGTCACCCTTGAGGACTAACATGAAATGCCTCGTTTCGAGTAAAAAGGGTCTTCGGTTCTTTACATTCAATATACGAAATACAGCAGAATTAAGCTTTGAAATTGCTTTTGCCACTGGTATGTATATTTAATAACTAATTTTAATACTTAATAATTCACGCTTGTTTTGTAGATACCCAGATTTAAAACGGATGGAAAGACGGTCGATTGTGTTACCACCAAATGGCAGTTAGAAAACTCCATTTAGTATGCTGTAATACAACAGCGTGAATTTGATACGCACCATCCACGCTTCGCCACGCTGAACGTTCTCCACTCAGGCCTTACTCTTGATATTCATGATGTTGATAAAGTGTTCCGCCTCCTTCAGCCGTGGTTATATTAAGAAAAATAGACTGAATAATATACTTACGGCCCAACGAGTGTCGTGTAAATGTTGACATTAGGGAGGAAGTTTTGGATTATTTGATGTAAATAAAAAAATTGACTTACAAACTTACAATAAAAAGTAACAGCCGACTTAAAAGAATTAAAAAAAAACACATGATATTTTCAGAAGTCGGTGTTAAGACTTTTAAGAAGGTTATTTTACGGGTCAAAAATTTTTACTTTTAATTTTTATTAACCACACAGATATGATTAAGTCAAAATATCTCGCAGCCTGTAATTACTACTTTAACCTTTCATCTGGAACACAGTTTTGATGTCCAGGTGTGGAAATAAGCACTGATGGACTCCTAGGAAGAACTGAAGTCCTACCTATCATTAAAAATCAAGATACTTACGTATTTTAATATTGTATTTGCCTTCACCCTGCACAGCTAAGAGAATCAATCGTCCACCTAGACTATAGATTCCTTCCAAATTCATGCTGCATCGGAGGACTAACGTTTGTTTGCCTTTAACTCGGTCGTGTCTGAAAATTAAAATAAATAAGTTCACCTAGGCTTTGTTCCAAGGAACTTTTTTCCTTTATAGCTATTTTAAGAGAAAAAGTTGTCTCAGGTTCTCGTAATAATAACGTCCTAGAAACCGAATTTCGGTCACGGAGACTATCCATCTTTTTTTTTATAGAATAATGATGACAAACGAGCACATAGTTCACTTGATGGTAAGTGGATGCTGTGGCCCATAGACATCTACATTTATCCTCGATTAAAAATCAAAACGCAGATGCGTTGCCACCCCTGAGATCTAAGATGGAATGCCTCGGTTCCAGTAAAAAAGGGTCTCCGGATCTCAATATGCACCATACGAAACGCAGCAGTGTTAAGCTTCTATACTGTATTCTGTAAGAGCGTGGTCCTTCCCCGGTCGAGCCGACCCGTTCGTGCTACAACCATAACATAGCTGCAGTGTGGCTCTACCACGTAAAATCTCTCTCGTATAAAATAAATCCACGTAAAAAATCTGCGCAGGACAGGATTATAAGGCACGATTGTGGGCGCGAATACAGGTGCACACTCTGTTCTATCACTCTCATAGTCAATAGGACGCAAATCCGGCACGATCGGAGAGAGATTCGACTCAGGACTGATGACTTTACGTGCTTTCACATAGCTTAGGCACAGGTGTGGAACACTGCCTCCTTCCTGACTCCGGGCGACTTTTCTGAAAAGAAACTCTCAGAGTTTCTTTTCAGAAAAACCCAATTACTGATTTTTGACTCGAATCTTGATTGAAACCCAGGACCGCTTGAATAGCTGTCGTACGAACGTTAGAACAACGAGGCAGTCGATTTCCGGTTTTCTATACTCATCATACGAATGCATTATACCGCTTCTGTCATAAGCTGGCGTTCTGTGAGAGCGCAGTCTGGTCGAGTCAAATCCTTCGTACTGCAGCCATACTACCGCAGCGTGGCTCTGCATCGTTATGAGTTGTATCGCTTAGCAATTCACCGTTTTTTTGGTTGCAGCACAGTAACATATGGGACAGTTATTCTCAAAAGGCATGGAATAAAACTAAATTTACTGACTTATTGCGTTTGATTAAAATATTAAATGCGATGTAGGTAGCAGATAATGTAATACTTATTAGTTTTATTTTTTATTTTGAGGTATGCGACAAAATAAATTTTTTTTTGTATCCAAATATTATTAACTGCCAGTCCATATCATTTACATTCCTTATTCCGTTTTAGCACAGTCATAATAAGAAATTTAAAATTAAGTAGTTAGACAAATTTGAAAATGCCCAAAAAGCGAAAAAATTATAAATTGCAATGTAAATTATATAAATTTTTAAAAAATAGTAATTCAGATGGTGTGAAAAATCGTTTTCCATTTATCATCAAATAAATGACGTTATACAATCCAAGGAAACCAAAACTATGACACAGATTATTAAAATGAACTTTTTGTATGAACAAGCTAGTAATATATAAGTCAATGGTATAATCACACTTACACATATTATGCAGCTCAAATCATTTGCAACTATATATGCAAATAAATAATAGACTTCCGTCACGAGGCAATAATAACTTGAAAATAAGCATTTTTTTCTACGAACAATTCTTTGATTATACACATGATATATTTAAAGGAACGGTTCCAAATTTAGAAACTTTATTTTTTAAAGTATGTCAAAGTTGATTTTAATACGCAAAACACGCGGTGTTTTTAGGTATACTACTGAATTAATGTAAACTTCTAGGTCATCGGACCAATTAATCTTTATTTATCAGGAAATAATCTTTACCTACCATTCTCAAACGTTTGATACAATTATCTATACGTTTATTTTTATACATTTTTATTATACGTCTAAATATTATGTCTGCTAACGCGGCATACCATATTAGCCCTCATGGGTGATAATTTGATTTTGATTCTTAATTGATGATGTATGTTGGTGTCTATAGGCCTTAGCATCCACGTACCATCAGGTGGACTGTGTGCTCATTTGTTAAACTAAAATAAAAAAAAAACAAAGCCGTCCAAAAGAAAATTGTCTGTAGGTAATTCAATTCTTGTTCTGTGCACTCAATTATTAATTCATTAGTGACATTAAAGTCAAGTTCACTCAACTTATATTTTTTATATTACTTTGCTATTCCGTTACAATTTTAGTAAAAAAGTCAATAATCGTCATTAATAATCATCATCATAGCCAGTACAGCCTATAAAAGTCCACTGCTGAACAAAGACCTCCCCCATAGAACGCTTCATACTGATTACGTTGCCATAGTGCCATGCTTGGCAAGTCGGTTGGCAACTGCAGTTTTTTTATTATTTTGTATCTTTATCAAGAATATGCTGCTATCCATCACCTGTTCCAATTTCCCTTTGTCTCCTCTTACGACACCCACGAGGCGATATGGGGTAGTGGATATTTTTACACCACCACTACTAGCCACTCATCATTCATCATTACACTCCCTTGTGAGTGAGGGTAGTGATGAATGATGACTGACTATGTTCAGCAACTGAAAACGAGACATTCCATCTTAGTCCTCACGGGTGACCACGATCTACATTTTGATTCGTAATCGCGGAAAGATGTAGATGTCTATGGGCCCCAGCAACCACTTACAGTTGGACTGTGTGCTAGTTGTCACCCTTATTCTTTAAAAGAAACATAGGCCTCCCAAAGAATGCCACAGAACACGGTCCTAAACCACCTACATCCATCAACTTCCCATTATCAGTCGTTACTCCATGGAGGTCGCCCCACACTTCGCCTACCGGTACGAGGCTGCCATTCGAGAACCTTGCTCCTCATCAGTTGTCGGTTCTTCGAGCTGTATGGCCGGCCCATTGCCACTTCAGCTTACTAATTCGTTGGACTATGTCGGTAACTCTGGTTCTACCGCGGGTATGCTCATTTCTAATGATAACCTCGAGAATAGCCCTCTCCATAGCTCGCTGAGCGATCTTGAGCTTGCTCATACGAACAGCAGTGAAGAATCACGTCTCAGATCCATAAGTTAGCTCTACTGTACAGACATTTTAGCACCTTGATATACCGCCATAATTTCGATGGGATCAAGGGCTTTCTCATAGTCTACATACCCAAGACAAAGTGGCAGATTGTACTCTTTGATCTATTGTACAATTTGCCGAAGGGTATGTATGTGGTCTATGGTACTAAAATCTTTTCGGAAACCGGCTTGTTCGGGAGGCCGGAAGTTGTCAAGCCTGCTTGCGGGACGATTCGTAATGACTCTCGAATACAGCACGTAGACATGGCTCAGAAGAAAAATTGGTCTGTAGTTCTTCAAGAGAGCGTTGAAGACCACCGAACCTCTGTTCTACGCCTCCGGAGTAGTCCCACCACAATATAATACCGCCAATAATATTTGTATCTTATTCAATTTAGGCTTTGAATTCTATTTACCTAACCGTTTCCCAAAGTTAGACAAATACAAATAGGAAGTGGCAAGAAACCACAAGCATTATATGAGCGACTCATTGTCTTTCCTATTTTTTTGTAAAAAAGACTGTTTTACATTTTTATGATAATTAAATGGAATTATCTTATGTTAGTATTAAAATGTATATGATTGTGCTCGTGCATATTACATATAGCAGAATTTTATTTTCATACGTCCTTATCCTCCAAGTAGACCTCAGTTTTATATTAGACCTTGCTAATTAAGGTATTTATTTGTTTATTATTTAAAAATAAACGTTACCCTCACACTACGTTACTCCTCCATAACGGAGGAAGTTTACATACATAAATTGCTTGTGGACAACATCTGTGGCCGCGCTGTCGTCGCGCCGCAAGCGAAACGCACCGAAGCCTAAATCGTGCTATCAAAGTTCCGAAGCTACCGCGCTCGATATATGTATATATGTAGAATAGCTCCGAATTAACACAGGCAGCATTGGCCGCTACCCGGACTGTGGGAGGGAGGAGTAAAGCGCGTCGCTTCGCAGTGGGTGTACGCGCCGTGGGGTGAACTCGGCTTGTGTCGAGCTTCGAGGACGCCATTGACCCCTCCCGGGACGACACATACTCTAAACTGCGCGTCAGCTAATATGCTGGGAAGCGAGCTGCGGAGGCCCGGCGTGCTGCTATCAGGAGAGCGCGCGCCTGTTGGTGACATCGGCTCCGCGTCGAGATCCGTCTCCGCGGGACCCTTCCCCCCCAAGGCCCAAACCAGCCAGGCCATCACCTAGAGCTAGGGAGGAGTACCTGAGGCCTGAGGGGGATTGCTGCATGAGCGCACACCTGTCGGCAGGATTAGCCCCGCGTCGAGACCTGACCTCGGAGGGACTCCGTTGGGCTTCGAGACTGCTGACTCTTCGAAAGGACCTACCCAGCGGCGCGCAATACGCCAAAGAAGATTACCTACAATGCCGTCCCTGTACGGCTCACAGGACCGGCCCATGGAATGATGATGGAGGATGATTGCCCGTGTAATGGGGTATGCCCCGAGGCCCGAAACCTGCAGGGATAAATAACAGTAGTCCCTTGCAGACGACAACACGAAGACCCGGGCTGTACACCTCGCCCGGCTGGGGACCTTTCCTTTTCTTTCAACCGCCAAACAAACCGACACACAACACATACAAACCGACGTGATTTGAACACGTAACAACGGAACCTTCTGAAAATTTACGTCGACAAATGTCCAAATGCACAGTATGTGTTTTGACCCATTTGAAAAAGTCTGGCTATACCAAAAAGCTCGATATTTGGGTACCACACGAGCTCACTGAAAGATATCTTATGAATCATGTACTCATTTGCGGTTTTCTATTGAAACGTAATGAAACCGAAACATTTTTGAAAAGATTGATCACTGGTGATAAAAATTGGATCATCTACGACAAGAACGTGCGAAAAAGATCATGGTCAAAGTTAAGCTCCACAGACAGAATGTAGCGAAACCCGGATTAACAGGCAATAAGGTGATGATGTGTGTATGGTGGGATTGGAAGGGCATCGTTTATTATGAGCTTTTACCGCCGGGCAAGATATCAGATGTCGACAACTAATGAGACTCAAGCAAAAAATTGAGAAAAAATGGCCGGAATTGATTGACAGAAAAGGAGTGGTCTTTCATCATGATAACGCCAAACCACACACATCTTTGGTCACTCAGAAAAAATTAATAGAGCTTGGTTGGGAAGTGTAAATGCATCCACGATATAGTCCTGCCCTTGCACCCTAAGACGTTCCCCTGTTTCATCATCACATCAGGAGAGGACTGGCAAAACTACTTATCACATTTTTATGATCAAAAATCCCAAGATTTCTACAAAAACGGGATTGTCACAAGTCGGCAACAAGTTATCGAACAAAATGGCACATATATATTATAATTAAATGTAATTAAAATTAAAAAAGTCTTGAATTTGTATATAAAATACGAAGAAACTTTTTCACCAACCTTATAGATGCGGCAGTTTAGTTTTATTTTTATTTTTACACTATCATGAAGCTTATAAAGTATTATAAATCTAACATTATTAATAATTAAACTCGTATGAATTGCTCGTACGAGATCAATAAGAAACTTTTTCCCCAACCTTATAGATGCGGCAGTATAGTTTATATTTTTATTTTTACACTATCATAAACCTAATTAAATTGGTAATTAAAGCTGATATAAACCTAACATAATTTATAAACTATATTCGTATGAATTCTCTTTTGTTAGAAGTTGCACAAACATGCATCATTATTTTTATGTCAGCGATTATATTGCCTTTTTAAAACTTAATGGATTTGTATATTATGCGTATCTTCTATGGTGCTTTTGTCAGTTGGCTATCTTCTAATTTTTTATATTCTTTATAGTTTTCAATATCATAGGACCCCTCTTCTGCCGAGGAGTCTGGGTACGAACCACTCCTTTACCAATTGCTGCCGACAAGCAGCTGTGCGTGTGCTGCTATTCCGATCTGAACTAGTAAAATTACCGACTGTGAGGCATTCCATCTTATTCCACAGAGGTGACGAGGTGACAACGCATCAATGGCCTCTTTTGTTTGAAGTTGTTGGCAGATGTCCTTGTACCGCTGTAGCCACTTACCACCATGTTTGTCACTATAAAGTTTTTATTTGTTATAATGTTTGTAATATAATGATGATGACGATAATGATGAAATAAAGTGGTTTTCCTTACTTGATGCTTTCTATCTTACATCCTTTGAGACCATTTATCGTTGTATCTTTCAACGACAGCTCCAAACCGCCCTGATTGCTGGTAATCAGGGGTACTCTCAGCGGGTCCAGAGACTTGACACCGAGCTCAGGCATGCCCGGTGCAAAGAATGGAATGGCTGCTTGGCTGGACGCTAGAATACATGCGTCGTCTCCATCCTTACAAGGCTTGATGAACGGAGCTGAAAAAAAGAACTAGTATTATATTTTTGTATATTGCAGCTGAATATTCAGATTTTCGTGAACAAAATACATGTCAGACTAGGCTGTGTGGTCTGACTATGCGAATCATAACAACAACAAACTTAGCGTTGTTTCCTGTTGTTTTGAATTTCAAATTTAAATATCTCTGCTTATCTTTCTGTATCTGTTATTATTTGTTACTGTTTAATAATTAAATTATTTACTTATAAAAACTTTTATGTTCTTATTACGTAGGAGTATTTCTCTACTCTTTGCTTTTTCTATTGTCTCATGTTTCTAAAAAAATCGTTAGTTGGTGAGTAGCAGTTAATTAATTAATTAATTATTTAATATTCTATATTGCACAACATACAAAAATTACATATGATGAAAGATGTATGCAGGGCGGTCTTATTGCTGATGGCAATTTCTTCTAGACAACCAATGAATGGACAGGATTACACAGAGATGACAGGGGTAGGGCAAATTGGTGTGATAAAAAAGAATACTCATATTTATATGTAATATAATAACATACATATACAAATACATATACAAACCGACCGAATCTGACCCACCACGCCTCATAATATAATATAGATTTCAAAAGGGTTCCGTTTTTGAATTTGTTAGAAAAAATTAAAATTAGAAAGGTATATTCATAGTACGCGTGTACAAATATACAATAACAAAGATCGTCTACAAGAAATAAAATAAACATATATTGAATTATTTAAAATTGTTTCAATTTGAAAAACATACACGACTTAAAATATTTTATCTTAAGTATGTGTAAGTTGTTTATAATGCACTATCCCAAGTAGCACCGTATTATAGCTGAGCACAAATGGGTCGGCCCTATCGGGATACTGGTGGAGAGGCATTCACTTTAGTTCTCGAGCTCTACAACGAATCTGCATTTTGATTCTTAATCAAGTCCAGGGGTTCGCAGCAACCACTACACTCAGGCGGACTCTATGCTCATATGTTATACTTTTATAAAAATATTTTCTTAACTGAGTGAGGTAAGAACAGGTGAAAAGGAAAAATTTAATGTTTTTTTTTAATAACGCAACCGGCTGTAAGTTATTTAGCCAGTCACCTTTTACAAGAATGAGATAATGTGATGAATCGCTTGTGCCTCCGGTATATGATGTAGAACTATACCCCAATCATCATCAGATAAAGAGTAGTCTTCTGAACATGAACTCTTCCTGCAGCTAAGAGAATAATTAGCACTGGTGATATTTTATAATCCATACATTCAATAAAAAATACTGATGTTTTTATTGAATGTCTAACAACCGAGAACTCTACAAACCGGCCTTATTACCTCGCTAAGTATATATAGTAAGTAACAAAGAAACTAATAGTTTTCTCGGAAACGGCTTTAACGATTTGCATAAAATTTAAATATAATATACTCGTAATACACAGATTTACTATATACAAGAAAATCTTGAATTCTTATAGAATAAATTGTTCATATATTATTTATTGAATTATTACATTAATATTAAATATTATGTTATATAAAATTTAGAAAGAGAGATCATTGGAATTAGATAGAGTTCGTAAAGATGATATCCGCGAAATCTGAATGACAGGGTGAGAAATTCTGTCATAAGAGAAAAATGTGGTTTGCAACATGATATGACCAGGATTAGGAAGGGAATGTCTCGGTGGGTGGTCATGTAGAAAGAATGAACGAGGAAAGAGTGACAAAACAAATTTATGTTGCTGAAGTGAACGGCAGAGTCAGCAAGGAACGCCAAGTGTATCGACCAAATTGACGATATATTGAAGATGGGCAAAATAAAATGTATCCTTAACCAACGAGCATGTATGCGGAGGTATATGAATGTAAAGGAAACGAGGGAGATGTGTCTAGATCGTAGCCAAGTCACTGCTTACCACTCTGGGTGACAGGGGCGTGAGTGTGTCCAAGTGCTCATAGTGCGGTTATATTATATCTCTACGAACCGACGACCGATGGAGAAAAAAGCTTTTTTTATAGGATAAGGGTGACAAATGAGCACATAGTCCACCTGATGATAAGTAGTTCCTGTGGCTCATAGACATCTATCGTTGTCACCCGCGAGGACTAAGATGGAATGCCTCGTTTGCAGTGAAAAGGGTCTTCGGTTCTCTACACTGTACATACGAAATACAGCAGCTTTAGTATGCTATTTTACGCTGGCATTCTGTAAGAGCGTGTCCCTTCCCAGCAGCTGCAGGGTGGCTCCACCTATAATGGATGCCTTTATTGGCAAGCGGAGTGTACGATGGCTCCGTATTCAAAAGAATAACGACACGCAGAAAGACGATATATTGAAATGTCTTAGAACCTTGCCTTGCAGGATTTATTGGGAGGTCAATGTAAAGCAGTGGACTCGTAAAGGGTTGTAATGATAATAACGATTAGGTTCTTTACCTATGAAACTGCCATTATGTTGAATAAGCCACTTTGAACTGTACTACGAGGAAGATTCGTAGCTTTTAAAATAATAATTTTATGGGAAAAGTTAAACATAGCAACAACGAAGTTGTATAAACAGAGTGTATTATCAATTTTTTTAACTCTAATAACGTTATTCACATAGATAAATCTCATACAAATTAGATAGAAAGAAATAACCTCAGGAAATTAATAACCAAACGAATCAGTACGTAGAAGTACGGATCTGAAACGTGGTCCTTCACTGCTGGCGTATGAGGAAGCTGTGATGAAGAGGGCTTTTCTCTGGATATCTTTGCTACATATAATTTGTAACGAGGATATACGTAGAACAACAAGAGTAACTGATATAGTCCCACGTCAACGTCAGGAAGCTGAAATGGCAATTTGCCAGACATATAGCTCGAGCTGGTACCGGTAAGCGAAATGTAGGGGTAGTGGGAGGCTTACTAAAAGGAGTAACGACATAGTAAGAGATGCAGGAAGTTGATTGATGCTGGTAGTTTGGGACCGTAATTAATTAAGTAATAAATTATTTCGTAATAAATTAACTAAACACGTTATGGCGTCCGTAAGAGGAGGTTTATTTTCAGCCGTGGATAATGTAAAAATCTGTAATAGCGAATAAGATACGGACGATAATTTTTTTTCTAAAACTGTAGTGACTAAAGAACATACAGCCTAATTGACGGTAAGTGGTTACTGCAGTCCAAGGAAACCTGCAGACAATCGTTGCAGTTGGCTATAGGCTGCAGTTGTCACATACCAGCAGGTGAGCCACATGCTCATTCTGATTTCTTATGTAAAAAAGACAAATTTAAATGAAAAAGGCTACAGATGCCTCACAGCCTATAAATTATACTAGTTCTCTGTACCCGGGAACAGCAGTGCAAGCAGTATTATTTGGCGCCAGAAATAGGACTTATCCAGACAGTGAGGTGAGGTCCTGGTGATCTATAACAGGGATTACCCTAGTATGGACACCAGTCTCTCACACAGGTTAACATTGTCTATAACCGTATTATTTACTTAATGTGAAATTTTATACCTTTGTGAAGAGGAAATTAAAAATATGATTTATTATTTATTTATTTCTCTGCCAAGGTTAAGAAAACCGATATATAGTAACTTATATACCAGTGACACAAACTTGTTCATTAGGTTAATGTGAAATAAATCAACTTATACATATTGAAACCTTGTGTGATTTTCCAAACGTAACCGCGAACTCGGCATAATTTTATAGCTTTGTTGACGTAGAAAACATGTTTACGGTTTATTATTATAAAATCAGTAGACAGGCCTTCAGAATAGAATAAAATAATTTTAATTTAATATACATTACATAATCATTGAAAGCCATTTAAGTTTTAACACTGATCTGGAAAAATCCTCTGTATTGTAACCTCTGTATTGTGTACCATCAACAAGAAACCCAGCGTGACTTTAACTTTAATACCATATTACTTATTGTAATATAATATTCAAGTTAACTCTGAATAAGCTTAAATGCTTTTACTGGAGTGGTACATGACAAATCTTTATTAAATTTAATAAAGTAATTTTACTAACCTCACCCGTTGTAGCTTATGGGCTAAAAGCTCGCATAACTACGAGTATCGGAGGAAAACGACAACTAGAATGTCGTGTAATATACACGACAATTTGCAAAAAAGAGAATGAAAAATATATATATATACATATATATTATATCTTTAATAGGATTCTCCATATGGCACAGTCAATTTTAATAAAAATGACATTTAAATCGTTTCACAAATGACGAATATATATATATAAAAAAAAACAAGAAATAAAAAACAGTCAAATTGAGAACATTAGCACGCTTCTATTAGCTTCGCGTTGGAATCCCTCGTTTCCACTTTTCAGTAATAAGGTTTGAGAACCGAAGATCTCTACACTCACCGTACGAAACACAGCAGCATTAAACCGCTATTTTACGCTGGTATTCTGTGAAAAACGGTGGCCCTACCCCGATCGAGCTGACCCATTCATGCTACAACCATAATATAGCTGCAGCGTGGTCCTACCACGTAAATTCCTTAATTTGTAATTTTTTTTCAAGCGTATTAATCATAAAAAAAAATTAAAAAAAAAACAAAGTCAGCACAATTATCATGTCATATCGTTTCACAAAATTTAATTGAAATTAATTATTAATCATCTCCTCGGGTTATTTCTCCCTGTAAGTATTGTTAAGTTTAATAAACGATCAGGTAATTATTTTTATGTAGTTAAATTCCTTAGAGATACCAAAATCAATAATTTTCGAAGGTGTAAATATTTAGTTAGGTCACAAACCAAAAATAAATTAAGATTTTTAATATTTTAGCAAATAATTAAGTTATTAAAATATAGAAAATGATCAATTTCTATAATAAAAAGATAATTTTTGAAAGTAAGTTGAGACAAAACTATGAACATTATCTGGCTTAAGTATACTTTAAGATGTATATGAATTCAAAGTTGTCGTCTAGTGAATATGCAATGCAGCTTTACTATAAATTATGAAATTGATAAAGTAGTTTATTGCTAACCCCATTAAAAATTGAAATGGCAGAATATTCCAAATTAACAATTACGCACCTAATCCAGAGTTAGCGTTCCAGAAGAGAGTGAGGAAGCACACGAACCTCAGCATGTTGTCCTCCTGTTGAGACAGTCAACACCACCACACTTAACCCTTCGCACTGGGAGTGTGAGCTGCCAGTGGTCCTTACACTCTTATATGAGGTAGCACTGCGCTTGATTATAGGGTGTCCAAAAGTGAATTAGGATAAATATCCTTTAAATCGTGAAACACCAACTTAATTATATTATTTTCCCCATTATTATCTCTATATCAGATAACTACTAGACTTCAGAGTCTCCGGTGCTAAAACGACATGTTCCGTTCCGTAAGACCGACATATGCCCTAATATGAAAGTCCCATGAATCCCATGTTAAAAATATGAATACCCAGTACACATAGACAGACAGACACACACACACACACACACACACGTGCGAGCACACACAAAAGCACACATACACGTAAGCACGCATGCACACACACATCCGCAGGCACACATGCACATTCACACACACACACATTCTGTGTGAGTATTTTTTTATAGGATAGGGTGACAAACGAGCACACAGTCCACCTGATGGTAAGTGGTTGCTGCGGCCCATAGACATCTACATCTATCCTCGATGACAAATCAAAATGCAGATATGCGTTGTCACCCGTGAGGACTAAGATGGAATGCCTCGTTTCTAGTAAAAAGGGTATAATTTACATAAAATATAAATCAAGTGACTCATTTCCAAAAAAAATATAAAAATATTTTTGTGGTTTCATAGTAATGTGGCGCCGCCGTCACATCACATCCTACACATCGAATCCTAAATGACGCTATCAAAATTCCGAATCACAAACAGTATATATATAGAACATCTCCGAACTATCACATGGAGCGTTGGCCGCTCCCCGGGCAGAACACCCCACTGTGGCTTTTGAAGAGAAAAGGGGAGATCTCCCGCCGGGCAAGGTTTGAGCCCGGGGAGCGGCTAATGCTCCATGTGATAGCTCGGAGATGTTCTATATATACTGTTTATGATTCGGAATTTTGATAGCGTCATTTAGGCTTCGGTGTGTTTCGCTTGCGGCGCGACGACGGCGCCGCCACATCACCCCCCTGCTCAGACCGGAGGTCGATAGTGCAGCCTCGTTGCCGACGAATGTGCAAGTGCCAGGAGATTGCCTTGTAGTGTGCGGTGAGTCGAGAAGAATGCAAGTAATCTGCTAGAGTGCCGTGAAGCAGAGGCGAGCAGTAAGACTCAGAGCCATGCCAAACACTGTACAGCGCAGAAAGTAGCTTAAAGGAACAGGAAGCATTATTATTCCAGTACTGCGATGAACCTTGTGAAGCTAGATGGCTTGCAGGATATGAAGACTGTAGACGATATCTGCTCGGGAGCGAATGGGTGGGGTATTCTACGACGATGATGAAACTTGAAGTTTCCGAAGGTTGTTGGTTGCGTGTTCAGATTACGTTGGGTGGTCACCACTGTGGCCGTGGAAGGAAAAGGGGAGATCTCCCGCCGGGCAAGATGTTCTGCCCGGGGAGCGGCCAACGCTCCATGTGATAGTTCGGAGATGTTCTATATATACTGTTTATGATTCGAAATTTTGATAGCGTCATTTAGGCTTCGGCGTGTGTCGCTTGCGGCGCGACGACGGCGCCGCCACAGTATCAATTTATTTTTTATGTTTTGATTTATAAATCTGAGTTCTTCTCTAAAACAAAATTATAATTTTTTTTAAATTTTTTATTATTATATTGTAAAGGCTAACTATAACGCCTTTTTAAAGTCAGTATAATATAAAACTATAACGTCCTTCCAAAGCTTAGTTTAGATGAACAAATAAATGTTCATATTTTATTACGATGTTCATGGTTACCCGAACATGACGCAGTTAAAGTTGCTCGTTTCATTGTCAATGTGATCTTGTTGTATTTACTTGTAAACGGATACGTTTGCGCTAAGCAGTTGCTTATGTATGGATACGTGGTGAAGTTATTTTCGGTTTTCCGTGTACAAAATTGAGGTAGTTAATAGAATACCATAGTTCAGACAAGAAGATTCACTTCTCTGGTTCTTTTTGTTCACTGAATCAGTGATATGTTTTATTTGTATCATTTTTTTATAGGATAGGGATGATAAATGATCACATAGTTCACCTGATGGTAAATGGATACTATGATGGATAAATACCATCATAGATTAAGAATCAAAATTGTTAGACTGTATTTCACGCTGGTATGCTGTGAGAGCGTGGTGCTTCCCCATTCGAGCAGGCCCATTTGTGCTACAACCGTGATATAGCTGCAGCGTGGCTCTACTGCTGCTATAGACACTTGCTGCCAACCTCAAATGAAGATGGCTGGAGATGCTTTGCCACGACTATACAGTTATACTAGCTATCTATACCCTTTAGCCTGGTATACAGCAGTGCAGACACTCTGCTTGACACCAGAAATAGGTGAGAAGGTGGAACGTATCCAGACGGACTCCTCGGCAGAAAAGAACTCCCCTGTTTTTTTATAGAATAGGGTGACTAACGAGCACATAGTCTAACTGATGGTAAGTGGATGCTGTGGCCCATAGACATATACGTCTATCCTCGATTAAGAATCAAAATGCGGATGTATTGTTACCCTTGAGGACTGAAATGCCTCGTTTCCAGTAGAAAGGGTCTCTGGTTCTCTACATTCACCATACGAACACCTGCTGCATAGAGCTTCTATCTTACGCTGGTATTCTGTGTGAACGTGGTCCTACCATGTAAAATGAATGAATAAATAAGTGTATCGTGTCTATGAAATGGAGAAACGACAACTACCTTGTAAAATAAAGAAGGTGAGAATAATTTAGCTCTTATTTTGTACCATGTTAAACGTTATATGTATAAAGAGGTCAGCTCTAAGAATTTTTTTCAGGACTCTCTCTATACTAGTAATAACTCTGAGCTTTGAGCCAGTCGCAGTCATGCTATACTTTTGTTTTTTCTATATTCGGGTCATCATGACTCATAACAAAACGTTTAATATATAACCTGTATTATGCAATGACACTTTTTTTAATTTTGACAACATGAGTGTTTTGTGAATCTCATTATTTAGGTTCACCAATTTCCGGACGTCAGAATTATCTGTACTTTGCTGACTTCGTCTTCCGAAGAGCCGATGATGACTTTACAATAATTTCATGACTGTTGATGCAATTTGGAGAGTGTGCGCAGGAATTACATGTTTTAATTATATTTATTAAATTATCAATATTTTTATTATATTATGTACGAAATAGTTGTATTACTATAAATATATAGTAACATATAATATCATAGAAGTCAACAGAAACTCTGTTTACATAATTGATCACGAACTTCATCCATTAGATTGTTTTGTTTCGTTTTCTTACCAGATTACTTATTTAGCCTTAGTTAAATAATTCCGTAGTGCTAGAGGGAAATCTTTACATGTATAATTCTAGTAATTGGGACCCCACGATACAGGCATGCCTAGTTGATTTGTAAATCTTTATATCTAATAAAAAAGCGCGGGGAATATTTTTTCCAATAAATATTTGAACATAGTCAGGTTTTTAAATAACTGTTTTAACCATTTCTTAAATGTACGCGAACACTACACATTAAATAAAACTAAATTTACGGATTTTATCGCGTTTATTTCACTACTTTTACTTATTTTTAATTCCCGACGTTCGGGTGCTTTACAGCACCTATGGTCACGGGGGGGGGGTACTGAGATGTTTGACGTCCCAATGTCATAGTTAGTCCGGCTACCTTCAGTTTTTGAATATTAATTTTTGGTCCGATGGTGTTTTGCGTAAATCGGACCAAAAATTAATATTTATATTATCTTATTAATATTAATCAATTTCCATTTATTTTATTAATTTATAGTTTTTCAAAATAAATCTTTAAGTTTTTTGATATAATATAGCCTAGATCCCGACATTGCTTTCCATTCTGTTCGTAAAGTTTCATTAAAATCGGTTCAGCCATCCCGAACATTAGCCCGAGCACACAGACAGACAGACAGACAAAAATTTTAAAAATGGTGTTAAAATACTATGTAATACAGCTGTTTTAGTATTAAAAACATGCACTTCAATTTTATTAATGTTTATAGATAGGAAGAACTTTACGTGTAGGATATCTAGGAATGCCAGATCGGAAATCCAATATATCTGGATAAAATTTTAAAATGTCGGGGTTTTGGGTTTGTTATAGGGAGAAATAAATATTAAAAGTAAAAGTGTAAAATAAAAAGTATTTTTTTAAATTAGTAGGCTACAAAAAGACTTAACATTGTTGTAAGTACCTACACTTAATGTTTATTACTTAATATAAGTTGCCACATGCATTTTTCATTAGAAGTTACTGAGTCCACCAACTTGGATCCTTTAGTAGTGATCAGAAATTATTTAAAATTCAAACTATTTACTTCATAGTTCAGTCTAATTACTAACTCATCTTTTACTAAATGAAAGTCAGCCGTGATGTGAAGAGAAGCAGTTTGTATAGGGATGTTGAATTTTTTGGAATTCAGGAGATCATTTAAAATGTCGAGAGAATCCAGATGAATCCCGACCATCTTGCAACCCTAACTACATCTGTACAGCTGTAGCACGAATGGACAAACTTGATTGGGTTAGGATCACAATTTGAAAAATACCATCGTAAAATATAGCTTACGACTGTATTTCTGACCAAATTTCGATCACGGTGGCCAGACTCAACAGAGGCTAGCCATCTGCGCTTAACAGGATTACAGTGCTAAAGTGTATTCGTAAGTACAGGTGCACTCTCTATTCCCTCACTCTTATATAATCCAATGGGACAGTAATCTGACACAACCAGAGAGAGATCAGGCACGGGATCAACGGCTAAAAGCTGCTTTTCGCCGACTAATCCTGAGAATTTTTGACAGAAAAACCCAATTCTGATTTTGATTGATGAACTCTGATTTTGGCTTAACCCGGAATTCGAACCCGCGACTATATTATGATCAGCGTCTTCGCTTACAGCCACTAGATCAAGAGGTAGCCGCGTAATAAAATAGGCAATA